AGATGTCTGCCATTTTTTTTTTAAATCAGTAACTGGAACCCTTAGAGCTACCTTCTTTCGTCTCTTAATTCCATTGCTATAGGGAGGGTATGGAATGTCAGTTGGCCCACAGTGGCTTTTCTCAAATACTGTAATCTTTCTCATATTGATCTGGTGGTAAGAACATACCAAGAACATACCTGGAGAAAACTGTCAGAGTGGAAGCATGAAAGACCAGTATTTCCTCCTTTTCCCATGTAGATATGTCATACAAAACAGTAGATTCTACCAGCGGATCATTTCTCACCTCAAGAAGCCAGAAGAAACTTTATCACCATGCTGTTATGTGAATATACTAGTACTGATAAAACATGGATCACCTTTGATGAGGGATAATTCACAAAATCCTATAATGCTAAACCCGTCAAGATGAACAGTGGAAAACAAATGATTGTGTTTAGTAGAAAGCAGATTAGACTGGGAATCAGGGACTGGGAATCAGGTTTGAGGCATCCCATCTCTGCCTCTGGAGATGCCCCTGCGACCTCAAACAAGTCACTCCACTTTTCTGGGTCACAATCTTCTCATCTGAAAAATGGGGGTCAAGGATCTCGAATGTTCCTTCCAGCTCCATGGTTCTATGACTCTATGACCAGAAGCTCACCAGAATTGTTTTTTAACCCTGACAAGCCAGTGTAAACACCTCCCTGAGACACCATACCAGCCAATGTTTTTGGCCAGTGATACATGGTGTGAGTGCCCAAAGAGTCTTGAGATGCCACTTTAGAGTCACAAGGAAAGCCAAACAAGAGGCTATGCCTTCTTTGCATTCTATCTCTAGAGGCACTTCTTCCGCCACCCCACTGCCTCTGTTACTTCATCTGTGGAAAAGAACTAATAGACCAAATTTACTTCCCCCTCATGACTCTGCTCCACTTGAAATAACTTCCATGGAGAGAAAGATAGTATTTTTATGGCTGAAATTTGCCACCAGCCACTTCAGCAAAATGATCAGGGAGTTTGCAATAGAAGCAACTCAAGGAATATAATATTTTATAAATGGACACATCCATCCTAAAGTACAGGCAGGGGCAATATTTACAGAATTGGCCCAGCTTGAGCCATGGTACATTGGAGTTGGAATGGTGTCAGCAACAATGGAAATAGCTGATGTGTGTCCCTTTGTTTTATGCCAATTTAGGATCTAATTTTTTGCATAATTTCTATTTACATTCTTATGTATTAATTAAATTAAACATCCAATCTATCTACTTAGATATTTGCACTTCTTGTCTGTTCCATGCCCTCAAAGTTCTCAACCGGGCATGTGGTTTATCCAGATAGCTTTAATGGATAAGCTGGCATTGCTCAGTGAAGGTAGACTCTTCTGTAACTTCCAGGAAAAGTACAAACCTGACCTTGACTTTGGGGAAAACTTGGATAGCCTCAGCATGAGTTGGGGTTTGGGGCTTTGATAGAAATGATAAGAAATTGAAACAGAGAAAAAGAAGTGAGAATGGGCAAGGACGCTCTACCTTGATTATGGAAGGCAGAAGGAAATTGATATTCTCTGTGCCGTGAAAGGTCAAAATGCCAATGTGAATTGAATTGTAAAGACTAAATTTTGAACAATTATTCTCCGTAGCAGTTATAAAAATTTCAGCAAATTGCAGCTGTCTCAGGCCCTTTGCCAAAAAAGACCTAATGGTTTACATCAGCAGAGCTCCCTCTCACCTCCAGCCTGGAAATACCCAACCTTGTACTAAATACTCTCAGCAAAATGAGCTCAGTCCCAGTGGGGCCCAAATCAAAGCTAGCCCAAGCTGGGCTAACACAGCTCCAGTGCTTACCTCCCTTCAAAACCATCATATGCACAAGCCATTTGAAAAGTCTTAGTTTGAAATTGTTTAGGTGATCCAGCAATGCTTTTAAAATATGATAACCATCGCACTTTACACCTCTCTGAAAGGTTAGCTTAATCGTAGATCACAAAAAAATTGGTTTCCACAAATGCATAATGGTTCATCTATGTCACACTTGAACTAAATGGTTTTTTAAATGGAGCTGAAATTATTTTGATGTGTACACAGTCCCAGATTTTTATACAGCCTTTTTTAACCAGCCCATCAGGAGCTTTGCCTCCAAAGCCTCATTAATAATTCAGATGTGCTGATGACTTTAAAAGATCTATGGAATTGAAGCTTAAAAAAAAAAAAAACAACCCTCCGCTTGACAAAAAGATAAATGAATGTAGAAAGAAGCTGTAGGAGTCTGGCAAGCTGTAGATCATCTCAGAACAGATTGTAACTTTATCATTCTGTCAGGGAGAATAATTTAAAGCACTTAATCAGTTAGTTTCACTGTGCAGGATGTAACATTATGAATTCCGATCTTCCAATCTGTTCACATCAAAGTGAACTTAATTATAAAAGGTGAGAGAGCCAGAGCATGAGAGTGGGGTGGGGGTGGGGTGCAGGAGGAGAGAGATTGAAAGCAGAGGGGCAAGTCAACTTGAGGGGGCCCCAGGGGGCTGAACAAAAATGGGTGTGGCTTGGACCAAATCACCCCTACCTTCAGCCAAGGTGTGTGGGGGGCTCCAACTACTTCACCACCAGTAGAAAAGCATTGCTGTGTTGGGGTCTCCTGTTTCGAAATATTTTAGGATTGAATTTTAGTATTTAGTTTGTAAATACACACACACACACACACACACACACACACACACACACACACACACACTAACAAGCCAAGTGAGAAATTAGAGCCAACAAATCATTCTAATAATTTGTTTTTAAAGGAAATGTACCAGGGGATATAGATGAAGATTTGGAAGGCTGTTACTTGTCTAAAGGTAGATTTTTAAGCCAGAGGAATATGGCATGATGGGTGTAAACCCATCTCGATACAAAGAATAGTTTTTTGAACAAATCACTTAACTTGTTATGTCTCAGTTCCCTCATCATGTATTGAGGGAGTTGCATTTGATGGCCTCTAAGATGTAGTTCTAATTCTAGGATCCTTTGATCTTGTTGACAGAAGGAAGGAAGGAAAGAGGGAATGGAGGAAGGAAAGAAGGGAGGGAGGAAGACAGGAAGGAAGGAAAGATGGATGGAATGAAGGAAAAAAGGAGGGGAGGAAAGAAGGAAGGAAGGAGGGAAGGAAGGAAGGAAGGAAGGAAGGAAGGAAGGAAGGAAGGAAGGAAGGAAGGAAGGAAGGAAAGAAGAAAGGAGGGAAGAAAGGAGGGAAGGAAGGAAGGAGGGAAGAAAGGAGGGAAGGAAGGAAGGAGGGAAGAAAGGAGGGAAGGAAGGAAGGAAGGAAGGAAGGAAGGAAGGAAGGAAGGAAGGAGGGAAGGAAGGAGGGAAGGAAGGAAGGAGGGAAGGAAGGAGGGAAGGAAGGAAGGAGGGAAGGAAGGAGGGAAGGAAGGAGGGAAGGAAGGAAGGAAGGAAGGAAGGAAGGAAGGAAGGAAAGATGGATGGAATGAAGGATGGATGGAAGGAAGGAAGGAAGGAAGGAAGGAAGGAAGGAAGGAAGGAAGGAAGGAAGGAGGGAAGAAAGGAGGGAAGGAAGGAAGGAAGGAAGGAAGGATTTATTAAGTACATACTAAGCTCCAGAGAAGATTCCTGTATAAGGCCTTTACAAATACTATCTCATTAGAAAATGAGTGATTAAATACTGAAACAAGGCACACGGTCCCCACACCACAAGCTATTTCTCCACCATTTTCACATCCATACATGTGGTTCATCCCTCAGATGCAGAGGTGTTTTTGCACCTGGAGCAATTACCACAAAGTAGAGCCATAAATTATGCCTGGGGTGAGCGGCCTGAAGCATGCCTTCACCTTGGGGGTGCGGGGTGGAGTAAGAGGAGAAGGAGTTCACCCCAGATCCCGTGTTTGGGTACTTCTCTATTTTAGCTGCTCTGTTATTTCTAGCTTCTGAAGTACTGCATGTGCTTTCCTTGCCCTCCATATGTGACTCCCTGTGGCAAAGTCCCATTAGCGCTGCCCTAGCTGTGGCTCTGTCTAGCCAATCTGTGCTAAAAACAAACAAACAAACAAACAAACAAATAAATAAATGAATGAATGAATGAATGAATAAAAGTAAATGAATAAATTGTGTTTTTAAAAATTAAGGTAGGGATTTGGGCTGAATTCACTGAAGAACATGGTCATGTTGCCAGAAGGGTCTTAGTTTTATGGCATTCTTACTTAACTCTCCAAATCACCTGATCCTTTGAACTCTTTTCAAAAGCCATGATTCATATTGAGTTGTTAACATTTTTTCTCGCTTGCATCTCTGGAGCCATCTCCACTAGGAATTTGTTTATTTCAATTTTACTGCCTTACAAGCCATTTCAATGTTACCTGGCTCTGGTAACATTGTCCACTATCTCAAATTCTACCTCTGGTCAGAACAGACAGTCAGCAAAAACAATGCATTTCCTAAAAAAAACAAACCAAAACAAAACAAAACAAAAATTGACCATGGATAACACAAAGCAGTGGCCCTGGGCAGACATAACATTAAGCGTACAATATGAACGTGAAGGCAAAAGAATACACAGAATGCCTGAGAACAAGGCTCCTAGATTACTCAGTGGTGCATGGCTATCTTCTGTCAACACTCCCCTCGAATCCATGAACTCATAGTCCATTCTTCAGGGCTGGATATATTCAGTAATAACCTATATCCCATATCCAGCTTGGCCCTACAAGAACCTCCTAGGCCTTCAGGCTCCAGAGAAAATTCCTAGAGAGTTCACCCTCATTCCAGTTGGCCAACATACCTGATTTCCTAAGACTGCCTTACCACTTTTCTCTAACTATTGGCTGCAGTCTCATCACAGATGTGTTCAAGATTCCAGGGTTCTTTATCACCAGCTCTGTACTTCTTAGTAATTACTCAGCTCAAACTCTATCGATTGCCTTTTTTTTCAATGAACTTTCTGACTGCTTTGCCACAGGACTAATTAAACTTCTTATTTTCCCTCCTTCTTTCTCTACCTGTTTTGCCCTTTAGCAGAAAAGAAATGGTTTACAGATGAATCGGATAATGCCTATCCCAGAAACATTCAAATCAAGCCCATGAGCACCCACATGGCTAACCAGATCAACCAATATAAATCTACAAGCAGCTTGATTCCACCAATCAGAGAAGCTGAAGATGAATGTTGACTCCCAGGAGACCAGAACTAATTTTTTTTAAAGCCTGACAAACTTCATAAATGGTGATGTGACTTTTTTTCCTCTTACATGCCGAATCACTGGTGGAAAAGTTAGGATAAGCAAGAATTATGAGAGAAAAAAAATAAAGTAGACAGATCTCTCTCTCTCTTTTGTCTGCCTTCAATACTGCTTCCATGTACTTTGGGGGAAAAATATTTCATTTATAAATGAACATACTAAAATTAGTCATGTATAGCCTCTAGCATTTAAAATTATTTTTATTTATTAGAAAAATATTTTTTTCATTTCCTTTTTCTCCATTGTCAAGTAAAGTCCCTTAAACAAGCCAAAAGCCAAAATGAGTAAGTGGCCAGACTCCTTAAGAAGCCTGTGTCTCTTTTTCCTCTCTGTCTTTGAGGAGAATGATGGTCACCACAGCAAATGAATTGTACTTCAGAAAGACAAATTATTTAAAAAAAAAAGAGGTCCAACAATGTACACATGTATTTTAGTAAACCAGGAAAAAAGAAAACAAAATATAACTTCCTTTAGTTTCTGCTTAATTTCTGCAGGATGTATATTTTGATCAGCATCGACACCAGCTCTTAATAAATGGAAACGTATTTATTTTCAAAGTGGAAAGTCATATTTTTGTAGCTGTAGCTTTCCATTTGGATTCCTTTGCCTTCATTCATTTATTTAAAGTGAAGATTTTCTTAGGTTTCTCTGGACCCACCAGGAACTTTCTCATTACAGTTGGGCCCTAAGTGATGTTCAGTGCTAGGAGTTTGTGAACATTTTTGAATGTTGCAGAGATAAGGCATGTGTGGGCAGACCTTTGAGGAGCACTTCTCATTGGCTTGTCTGTCTAACAGCTGTATTCTGCCAGGCCTCACAGGTCACAATTCCAATGAGAATTTGCTAAGTGAATGAGTTCGATTTTGGAAGTGCCTCCACTTTTTCTTCTTTCTTTCATTTTTTTTTTTGGCCAGGTTTGAGAGCTTTTAGCTGGTGTGTGTGTGTGCGTGTGTGTGTATAAATGCCATTGAATAGCTTCACATCACAGTAGGATATTATTAACTCACTCATTTATTTAAATGGACTCTTGTTTGGAAGCCAGTTAATTTCCATTAACAAGGAGACAATTTTACCATGTGTTATAATTTCCAGGTTTTCCATTTGTCACTGGGATATCATGCCCATAATTGCTATGACAATACATGCAGAAGAAAAAAAAATGAAAACAATGAATGTATTTAATAGAAGAGCTTAGGAGGGTCCTTTGAAAGCTGCCAGCAATGAAAGCAAATGTATCAGCAATTTCAAAGTGTGGTCAACAGCTTTTTCTAACCATCAGGCATAATTGTAATGTTTTTGTTTCCTAGCTGCACCACAGTATGCATGGTGCACAACCATCCAAGCATTTAATGTTCCAAACAATTTAGCAAGTCTTTCAACTTCAAAATTATCCATTTTTGATACAACCAAGCAAGGTCTCTGGAGCAGGAACAGACAAACTATTGAATGTTTGTTCTTTAAAAACACACACATAGAGACATAATAACAAACAGCAACACAAAGAACAGCACACAAAACAAAGCAAAAAAAACAACACACACAAACAAACACAAAACACTGGGACCCTGGAGAAAACAAACAAGGACCACCCCAACAGCTCATGGTATCTTTTGCATAAACTTTGGGGGCTTTCCCTTTGCTGTAAAGCTATTTAATGCCAAGGGAATCCTTAGAGTGGCAGTGATTCATCTCAACGACATAACAATGGGTCTGATAGGATTCTCCATCCTCATGGATATCCACTCAGTACTACAACTCCTAAGCCAAACTCTCCCAGCTTCAATGTTTGTTGACTGGCTACAGTCCAAATGTGACTATCCTGCCACCTAGTAGGCTTTTTCTTGGAGTGATTCTTGGACTGTGGTTACCTAGTCATTTACATTCTGTAGAATTAGTAATATATTAAAAAAAAATTGTGAATATCATGTATGTCCAATTGGATTGTTGAAAAATTACCTATAATCACTATAGAGCCTATTCCACAGACTAAAATAATGTCCACAGTTGTATCCAGGTCTAACCCATTTTCATGATTATCAAAAGAAAAGAAAGGGGAAGGGGAAAAAAAACCCAAAAAAGTGGCTAAAACTGACCATTTCTTTTAAAAAGCAGGCAGCCTTCCACATCCTGGATTTGTTTGAATCAGAGACACCTTAAGTGTGTTACTGTAATCTAACATTCCTTCTTCCATGAATTGCAGAACACTCTTCCTCCCTGGTCAAACAGACTGGCTTTGGCACCACTACAATTGCTGGTGTTTACCATCACCTTGACCAAATCCATTTGCTCCTCATGGGCAAGTTGAGGGTATAATCTTCAGCTATAACATCTATCTTAAGGCACATAGCAGCAGAGCCTCTTCCCCTCCTTTCCTGCCTCCTTCCATCCACTCCCCAAAAAATGGAAATTCTAAAGGTCATTCCTGCTCCCCTCTTCTTCCATATCAGGGGCACATGAACCTGTCCTTTCTGTTGTACAAATGATCAAAGGAAAGTATTTGGGACATGAGGCCCAGATCTCCAATCAGGTCTCAAGTTGTTAGAATTCTCATTTGTCCATAAGAATGGGAAGATGATTAATCTGCAGCGTGATACCTTGCCTTCATTACTAGACTGCTCTGGGCCACAGCGTAAAGGCAGAAATTTTCGTAGAAGGGAGATAGGCCAAGTATTCAGTGGTCCAAGTTGCTTCAGGAAATATGAGAGAAGAGGATGTTCTTGGACCAGAGAAGCAGCCAGAAGGTACCAACTCCTCCTTCCACTGACTTCTCAGAAGTTGAAATAGAATGGAGGATCTATGTCTTTGGCAACCTTGTTAGGGTCAGAGTGAGATTTTGAGACAGCCTATGAAAAGCCCACAGGCTTGCCATGAGAGGGTCCTTTCTTCCTTGTTGTCATGTATTGGAATCATTGCTTCTCATGTCTCATCATCTTCCTTTGAAACCTCCCTTTTCCCTTGCTATGACCTAACAGGCTAAGGTTTAAGGTCAAAAAAGTCATTCTCACTGCCCAGTAACCTTGGCTTGATAGTTCTGACTCAATAAACGGATGTTTATAAGGCAGAGTTATCACTCTTCTTTCCTGATCACCCTTCTTTGGAAAACTTGATATTTCAACATTGATATGTCAAACAGCTTGATTCCAAAAACAAACAAAAACCAATGATTTCTACAGGTCCAAGAGCAATTTAAAGGTTTCTTGAAAAGTTACTAAATTGGAGATATAGTTTAAGAAAAGACTTTATTAAGGGGCATTATTTTTTTTAGGGAATAGCTACCTTCTTTGTAGCAGAATCCCCAAAATCCATGGTGAAATCTCTCTCTCTGTCTCTCTCTCTGTCTCTCTCTCTGTCTCTCTCTCTGTCTCTCTCTCTCTCTCTCTCTCTCTCTCTCTCTCCCTCTCTCTCTCTCTCTCTCTCTCTCTCTCTCTCTCTCTCTGTGTCTGTCTCTTGCTTTTTTCCCCTTAAGGAGAGATCGAGAGAGCTCCATCTCCTAGTCTGTTTATGGGTACTTCAACAGGAAAGTGGGATGGAGGGGGGCATGGTTGCCATCCCGTGATTGACCAGTTACAAACCTTGTGCCTCAGTTAATGTAAAATAAGGGGTTTGACTGATAATGGGCTTTGAGGTTGTTTCCAGCTCTAAATCTCTGATCATATATATGCTGCGTAGTTAGTTACAAATTGGGAATATAGTGCTTGTCTTCTACCCAGAGGTCCTTCTTGCTAATCACTTAAGCAATAGCAAACTGATGCTAAAGAGCCAAGACACTCTGCATTTCCTACCCAGAGACAGAGTTGTCAGGTTCACTTGTTCAAATTGTCCTTTTTCTCTTAAACCTTCAGAAATTGCCAGAGTTCAAAGCCAAATTCCTCTGGATGCCATTCATCAAATTGTGTTCTGTTCTTAAGTTTCATAGGGTTTTCTTCCCAACTACATAGGTCAGGGTATCCTTGCCCAAGACTCAGCCTTGACATATCATTACTTTCCCCTAACTGCCCAGTATATAGGGAGGGCCTCAGAAATCAAGGACCCATTAGTACCTTCCTCTTGATACGTGCTTGCACAAAACGTCCTGAGCATCTGGAGGCAGCCAATCTAATTTCCTCTGCTTTCCCAGTCTTCTTTCCTCCAGTTTATCTCATTGGCATTTTGTCACCAATTATCCATTCACTCATTGCATTTTGAAACTTAAGCCTCAGTTGGATTTCCCATTACTAGAGGTAAAGGATGATTAGAAGAGGGAAGAAGGGAAGCAACAAACAAACAAAAAAGACTGAGAGGAAAAGGGTATGAAACTAACAAGCCAGGTCATGGCCCATACCACTTGTCATGCTCCCCCATGCCTGCAATACCAGGGTAGGTTGCACATTCTCCTTTCATCCCCAACTTCTTTCCTATCACCAGCTCATAGCTTGCTGAGTGGTAGCAACATTATGGTGCAAACTGTGGCTCTTTAGAAACACTTTAATCATTTGCAGCTGGCCTTCCTGAATCAGGGCCTGCCTACCTATGAGTAGAATTCATCTTGGGTCTGATAGAAAGCACTCCATAAGTCCCATCCCCAACCCTTCCCCTTTCCCCTTTCTCTTCCCATCCCCAAATAAGGTTTCATAGAGATCTGTTTGCATACCACCAGAGATAATTGGCCAGTGGAGCTCCCTTTGCTTTGGAGGGATGAAAAGAACTTCATAGAACTTATTTCTGTAGAAGAGAGAGGAAGGTAGGGAATGTACCTACCGGTCTCCCAGACGAGGAAATCCAATGCATGTCGTCACCTTTTATGCAAAGATTAATCTTAGAGAGTTTCCTAAGGGCCCCAAGAGATACCCATGTAGCCAGGGTCACAACCAGAGTGTGTCAGAGATAAGAACTGACCACAGGTTTTCTTGGCTTTAAGGCCAGCACTCTCCACTAGGCCACTCTATCATTTGCAGAAGAGAGAGTAGTTAAAAAAAATTCTATGACCTTAATATAGGTGATAGGTAGAGGGGCACAGTGGAAACAAAGTTGGCTTCGGAGTTAAAAAGACCTGAGTTCAAGTCCCACTTCTGACCTATACTGGTAATGTGACCCTAGAGAGTCCCTTAACCTCTCAACAGTTCAGGAAACTCTCTAAGACAAGAGTTTTTCACTAGGCAAAAACAATAGCAATACTTACTGGCAGCTCTCAGTAGTTAATCCCTTATTCTCTCAGTTACCCCAAAATTGACCTGGAAGGATGGCTTCAATCACTGGCACTGTGCTAGGGACTAAAGTAGAGACCACAACTATGATATTGTCCCTTCCATCAAGGATACCTGGGGAGATAAAATGTAAATGTGAAAAGGATAAGTAGCCATGCAAGACAGCATTTACTCATCAACAAATAAGTGATACACACGTAGGAGTTCAGAGGACATTATGTGATAAGATGGTCAGGGTTGGCTTAATGGTGCATGTGAGACTTGAACTATATCTTGAAAGTGGAGCAGGGCTTAGGTAAGCATAAAAGAAAGGAGAATGTTTCAGGCAGAGATAAGAGAATGAGCAAAAGCATGGATGGGGGAATGGAGAAGCCAGTCTGGCTGGGGATGGTCAAACAAAACTTCATAGGAGAGTTGACATTTGAACTGGATCGTGAAGGATAGAAAGAGGAGGCACTATTGCCAGACATAATAAGTGAGGAAAAGGAGACATTTTGTGAGGAAAGATGATTAACCTGAAGTGAAACATAATGAGTTTGAAGAGATGGTGGAACATCCAACTGGAAACACCTACTAGGCAGCTTCAGATATGACCCAGGAACTTAGGAGAAAGGGTGGAACTAGAGTTGTAAATTTGAAAGAAATCCTCATGATAGCGATTCTTGAAACCCAATTTGTGTAGATGAAATGTTTGAAAATGAAAATATCCAACAAGAAGTGCAGGGGTCTGAGACTGACCCTTTGGGGACTTGAAACAAGCCATGTGGGGCAGAAAGATCAGGAAAAAGGAAGATAAGCTAGTAAAGGAGAATGAGAAGGAATAGCTCAAGAGATAGAATGACTAAATAGTGAATTTGTATGGAAACTAAGAGAAGGGAGTTTCTCAAGAAGAAGGGTAGTTAATAGTGTCAAATATTACAATGGAGAAAAATGAGGGGCAAAAGACCACTTGATTTAGTGATTGTGGTAAGGGGCAGAGGGAGAGAGACTCACCTCACTAGAACAGTAGGTATCATTTATAAAGAATTAGCAAATACTTAGTAAATGGGTAAAATAAGGCCAAATGGAAGTCTTAGGTCATACTTCCAGAATCACCAAATCTTGGAGTCATAAGGCATCTCAGAGGCCCTCTAGTTTAACCCATACTTAGCCAAGTCTCCCATATCCAACATTCCCAACAAGTCAACAGGTGTCCAGCTTCTGCTTGAAGACATTCAGTGAGAGGGAGCCCACTACCTCTTGAGGCAGCCATTGCACTTTTGCACTGTTCTAATTGTCAGGAAGTGTTTTCTTAAATCAAGTCCAAGTTCCCTACTTTTCATCTTCTACCCACTGCTCGTAATTCTTTCCAGGGGCCCCTAACAGAATAAGTCTTCCATGTACCATCTCTGTAGCTTCTTGAAGGCAGTTATCATGCACTATTCCCATCTCTCACCAAACAAATCTTCTTTAAGCTAAACATCCCCACTTTCTTTAATTGATTCTCATCTGGTCTGATCTTAAAGCCTTTCGCCTCTCTGGTTGTCTTCTTCCAGACACTTTCCAGCTTACCAATTTCCTTAATAAAATATGGTGTGCAGAACTGAATATAACATTGTAGATGTTGTCTGACTGGGGCAGAGTACATTGGGACCTATCATTGAGACTTTATTCCTGGAGGCTTGTACATCTCTTCACGAAACCCAAGATTAATTTCACATTTTTTTCATTTAGCATAATGCCCAGCACATGATAAGCACTCAATAAATGCTTGTTACCTTGACTTGACTTGACTTGGCTTCCATATTACACTAGCAACTCCCACTGAGCTTGTAATTCACTGAAACCCCCACGTTGGATGACAGAGACAAGATGTTCCCAACTGTGGCAGGCTAGAATGTTGACCTGAATATAATAAGATCAAATTTAATGTGGATCCTAAGGGTTTTTTTTAATGTATTGGATGTTGAGTGTGGACTTTCGATTGTATGCTGCCTCTTACCTTGTATGAGGCCCCAGGATGAAAGCTGTTTACTTAGCACCTGTTCAATTCATCATATGTTGTTTCTTTTAAAGGCTTTCTGACTTTGAGTAGATTTCTTAAGAGTAAATATTATGAATGATTGTTGGCTTTCCTGTACGTGAAGAAGCAAGTTTATTTTGTTAGATGAAAACTGGGTCTGCATCACAAACTACATATTAAATAAAAGACTTCATTTGGTTAATTGCTGGCCTGCACTGTAGACTGATCCCTCTCTCCTTCCATTCTTTCTGAACAGTGAAGCTTTGGTGGTTAGGTCCAGAGCTAGAACTCAAATTCCTTAGTGTAAACTCTGTGTCTGATTAGATGAGCATTGCCAAGCCCCCAGTATCTACTAGACTGAAGACCCTGCTGGAATATACACAGAGTGCTAACATAGACTGAGAGGCCAGGGCAGGCCAAGTTCTTCCATATTTCACTAATATTGAATTTCATTGTGAGATGTGAGAAAGATACAATCAGTTAAGGGACCTCTGCCAAAAAGGTTTGCTGAGGACCTGTCTTGTACTTCATTTCAGACTCAGAAATAAAATCAGACCCAGCAGTTCAGCCCAGCCAACCCTTTTCACGTTCCTTCCTTCCTTTCTTCTTTCCACTGGGCATTGCTTGAGACACATGTGACAAGCCACTGTAACATCTCAAACATAAACTGAGATTTGCCGGGAAACTGCTCATTAAAGATCTCCAGTCCCCACAATGTATGATCATATCCTCCCTTAAAACTTCTGGCCTGCTTCCCACCACCCAGACCCCTTGTAGATACCTCCCCAAAGTCCACCATAAACTGTTCAGTACATAGAATTCAATCTGTGAGTTCATCGAGAATTTTTTTTAAAAAGTGTGAACCATTCATTAATCTTTTGTTTTATCTATTTTGTGTCTTCCCCTCCCCCCTTTAATTTTTTTTCACAAGGATTGGTTTGAGAGAGCAAATGCTGGTGTTCTGAAGTGATCTCCCCGATGTTGTCATCTGTAATATCCAGTGATAAAAATATTGTCTTGTAAAAAGGGTTTGTACATAACTTGTACATGGTTTCATTTTGTATTTTTCTCAGATTAAAATTTATGTATTTGTGTTCTAAAACAAGGTGTGCTTCTAGTCTCTCTATAACCCTTATGGGAAGTTTGTTTGTTTGTTTGGGTTGGGGCAGAGGGAAGTTGGGGGAGGAGGAGACTCATTAA